AATGATATCTCGAAACATTTTGTATAAATAATACGGGCAAACAACATTTGGCAAAAATTTTAACCTAGAGACCCAAATGTACATGTGGCCTCAGAATCCTAGTCCATAAAACTGAAAAAAAAAAAACATTTTTGACCATATTTGAGACACGAATGTCGAAGTGCTTTACGTGAACGTGTATTTTACCCACACCCATAAAGAACAACATTCGATACACTCACTCTAGGTATACACTTAACACCAACTCATTTCCAACGCTTCGTCCCACAGTCACAGTCTGTGGGGTATATGCTGACTTCGGCAACAGCACCGAACATATCCAAATTATAGATTTCATCGTTCATCAGTTTTCTAACCGACATTCTCAACCACACCACGATGGGATCTTTCATAATATGCCCCTTATTTGAGACCTTATCAAAACCGGAAGACACCTTCATTTAAAAAATCAATTATGTCTTCTTAAAGTCCAATCCAATCAGTCCACTTTTAATTAATGTTTTAGCCGCTGTCATATCTTCATCATTCTTCGATATATCTTAACTTGAAGCTTGAAAAACCATAAATCGCAAACATTTGATATTGCCTTTAATTTTGTCATTGCACGATATCTTTACAAATCAAGAGATTTTTAAATAAAACGGATTTTTATGAGAATAATTGTAACAAGTTGAGACCTATGAGTTTGTCATACAATAAAAGCGAAATTGAGCTAAAAATGTGGTTTCTGTATTATACAGACGGACAGATGGACAGAAACACGTAGTTAAATCGACAGAATTTGATAAGGCCCAAAAATACTTTATTCGGTATCAGATGAATATTTCTCAATGTTACAAACAATTTTTTATTTGTTAAAAATTTTCAGTATTTTTCAACATATGAAATTAAATAGGGAATACATAGTACATAGTTAACAACTTATGCTAAAAATGTTTCACTTTGTTTAATGTCAATTTGATGGCGGCTTCAAATCCCAATTTTGTTTTATTACGTTTACTGAATTATTTTGACCCATGAGCTAGACCAATTCCAAAAACTTTAAAATATTTTAAGAATCATCATAAAACAAAGCAATGCTAATTTTAAGAGGATCTTATAGAGAGTTAGTTGGTCTAATATAAAACAATTTAGCTTCGCTATAAATCATACAATTCTAAATGCCTCATTCTCTCAAATACGATTTACTTAATTTCAAGTTTGAAAATAACTCTAAATCATGTATTAAATAAAAAATATACACAAAATGAGAAGTAATAATAAAGTTGCCATCAGCAAAACGATGCATGTATCTAAATTGAAAATTGCTATAAATTTTACATTTGGAGTACTTGTGTCCGTAATCAAGACATATAAAATTGCAAGTGCGTATGTGGAATGGCAAATGTTCCCATGCAATTCATTTATGTACTTGTACAATGTACATATGTATATATGGATGTATGTATGAATTTATATTTTAGAAGACAAGTTTGAAATGAATGAATAAAGCTAGAAAGACGTTTTTAAGAATTAACATTTATCTTGTCACACAAGTTGTAATATTTATTACTTAAACACACCCATAAAATGCTTCCTGCTTAGGTTTTACTATTTCATATTTTTTGTATACTCGTTTCATTCTTAAACAACTTCAGCATTAAAAATAAAGATTTTAACGAAATGTTTTTTTATAAGTTTTTGTTATTTTTTTTTAATTTTCACAGAATACTTTACAACAAAGAAAAAGCTTGTAGTAGTAGATAGAAGTCATTCAAAAGCAATGATAGGAATTGTAAAATTAATATTTCTCCTTTGATTGAATGCTGTGCTTTTTATTCAGTTATTCAATACTTCTTAAAAAGAGTTTTATTCTGGGTGATATACATACGGTTTCGGGTTTAATGACTACATTTTCAATTACAATTACATTTGAAGTAATTGTAATTGCAGTTTTACCAATTACAATTACTTGTAATTGAAGTTTTGCCAATTACAATTATTTGTAATTGTAAATAAAATTTTGACAATTACAATTACTTGTAATGGTAATTGAATTTTTGCAAATTACAATTGCTTGTAATCGAAGAATTTCCAATTACAATTACTTATAATTGTGAATTTTGTTCCTTATAATTATATGTAATTTGTAATTAGTAATAACTTAATTACAATTACAAGTAATTTTAATTGGAAACTTCAATTACAATTACAAGTAATTATCAAAACTTCAATTACAAGTAATTAGTTAATTACACATTACAAGTAATTGTAATTGGAAAAACTTCAATTACAATATAAGTAAGTGCAATTGGTTATTACTCAATTACACATTGCAAGTAATTGTAATTGATTGATTAATGATTAATGTTTGTTTATACAACTATAGTAGGGAGGGTATTATACGTTTTTGCTGATGTTTGTAACCCACAAAAATATTGTTCCTACACCCACCTTAAAGTATACCGATCGATTCAAAACCACTTTTTGAGTCTATTGAGACATGTCCGTCCGTCCGTCTGTACGGCTGGCTGGCTGGCTGTCCATGTAAACCTTGTGCGCAAGGTACAGGCCGCAATTTTCAAGATAATTTGATGAAATTTGGACCAAACATGTTTTGCACAGAGACGAAGCCTATTGAAAATGGTTGAAATCGGTCCATTATTTCACCTAGCCCCCATACAACCGTACCTCCCGATTTGGGCTATTTATGCCATAATTATATCAAATATACTATTATCTCTCCAAAAATTGGCACATTTCATATTAGCACGAAATTTTCGCAAATATTTTTAAAAAAGTAGTTACGATTTTTTTGTAATTTATTTTCAGTGTAGTCATAACTGGTGTGGGTATTGTAGGGTTGGCCATGACCGACTATACGTTCTTAATAGTTACTATATGCCAAAGTTTATTAACAACAAATTATCGCAAAGGAAAAGGTTTTGCAATAAGTGATAAATTTAGAGTAATTAAATATTAAGTGAATGTTTAATGTAACAGTAGTAATCTAGTAATAATTAGATATTTTTGTGGTCATGGCATACTTATGAATCCATCTAGTCATCTAGTTTAGATTTCTTAAAAGTGATTTTACTTTTTAATGCTTATAATACATATTTGCAAGTTTATATATTGTCGCATTTTTATGCATATTTTGAAATTTGATTCTTTTGTAAAGAGATACATACATATGTATATTTTCTGTAGTATTATTATTGCTAGTATTTTACTTTCTTTTTCTAGTTTCTCTTCGTCTAAATTTCCAAAGCCAATCGTGTGTACAAAATTATACATTTACTTATGCATTACACACTCACGTGTATTTGGATCAGAAAAAAAATTTGCACAATTAATGTCGAATTAGAGGTTATCAAGCCAGTATTACAGAAGCATCAACAACTGCAAGTAAATTCACTTAAAAGTACGAGTAAGTATGTATGTCGGTAACCATTTCTTGCCACAAAGTACAAACTATTTTTATAGCAAACTGTAATTTATATACTGCACAACAAATGTACATTCACACTGACCCACTCACTCCCCTTTTAAATGTTGGCAACAGACACAAACCCCATATAACGATCGACTAACATTTTCAGTTCAAACTTTTGTACAAATACAACCAGTATTTTTTTGGTATTCGACTCTAGTGTGGTGTAAACTTTACATGACGATGTTGTGTTTTTATTATTTATTTATTTTTATTTACAACATCCATTATGAACTTATAACGGGCATGAACTTTGCTGATACTATGTGTCCAAACATCTTATATAAAATCTTGTTGCACATACTAATATTAATCAACATGAAATATATGTACATTAGGGTGGCTCCGAAATGGAAATTGATGATGTTTCCGCAATTTTTAATTTTTCCGTAATATTTTTAGTTTTTCAAATTTTTACAAGGTTTTTTATCCTTTACCCATTTTATCAAATATTCAGTCCAGGAAAAAAAATTTTGAGAAACTGTATTTCAGAATGAATGAAGATGTATACTACAATAAATCCGAAGAAATATATCTAGGCCACTATCGGGGCTGTTCTGCGCTCTTTTTCATGGAAGAAAACTTTTTGTTGGCCAAAAAACAAAAACATAGTGTTCACTGAATGCATTATCTTTCAATGTTCGGAAACTCAGTTTCCTGGACGTAATTCCCAGGAATTAGAATGGACTAAAGTTTAAAATTTTTTGGATTATCAGTGTCTTATTTCTTCTTCTTACAAATGGGGCCACCCTAATGTACATATTTAAATGTACTTACATATTTAAATAGTATGTATGAATAATATGCATTTATAAGAAACATGTTTTGGTCCGTTTTAATCGAATAATGTATTTATTATGAAGAAAACTGTAGACTGAACGACTTCTATTTGTGATTTTGTAAGTTTTTATACGTTTTTTGAGACATTATTCAAATTGGCGTTGTTATTTTGTTAAAATTTAAGCTCCTACATCATCATATCTGGTTAAAATCACTTTGAGCGACATTTTTAAATTAATTAAGTATTTCGAAAAGGGAACGAGTCCAACAATACAAACTTTTCAAGACAACTTCTCACTTCTGAAGAAAGTGTCGTCGTTAGATCAATTGTAATTGTTATTCTTCGTTATTTATCAGGCATTAAGTTAAAATTTTAACTGTTTATACATTCATATAAAATTCCAATAAATTCTTTTAAACTACTGAAATCTTGAAAGGGGGTGGAGGATGAGGAAATATTTTTCTTGTACCAAACATGTATAAATTTGGTTTGCAACTACATATTTCAAAAAAGGCTTGGTTTATTACGAGCAATACGTTTACTCGTTGACTGTAGGTTTAGCTAAATAGATACATACATAGTTGGTTGGACAATAAACTAGTTCAAGTGCTATTTTACTCTAGGTTTATTACATCTAAACAAAGAAACGAACGGGTATTTTCATTTTGAGTATTCATGTAGTTGTAAGTAAATTTGTATGGAAGTATGTTTGGATGTTTGTTTGTATTTGAAATGCTGTTTACTTACATTTGCCAATATGGTCAAATGGTACATGGCTTGTTTCTCAAAATCCAATGGTCCCAATAAAAATATAGTTCCTTCTGTTGTTTCAGGAGAAACAATTTTTTGTCTTATGGCAAAAAGGGGAGAACCCTGCAACGATAAAAGGGAAAGAGTGTCAATTTAAAAAATCTGTATAGAAAATTAATACATTATTTATGCGCTCTATGAACTGTTATAATAAAAATATGTATTGACTTACCCATAGTTCGAGGTAGACTGGTTTCTGGAATAATGGATTTTTACGTGCAATCACATAATCCAATTCGGTGCCACGTTTAGCATCCTGTAATGAAAAAAAAAAATCACAACAATAAAAAAACGCTCATTAATGAACAATCAATCTACATGAAAAATAATTTTAAAAATTGGATACAAGTATGATGTGTGTAATTAAATATAATGTTTATAATTTGTTAAGTTTGTTAACAATTTAGCAGCAAACGAGATGGAATAAATATTTGTAAAACAGAGTCAGTTATTAACAAAATAAATGATTTTAAGAACATTTATTATACGTAAATGAGTGTAGGCTGAATGGCTGGCTGGTAGGCAGATAACAAAAAAATAATAAAAATCTTTGTAATGATGATGATCATCATCATTATGATTTATTGTATTGAATTATTCCAGACATACACGTACATATATATGTACATTAGAGTGGCTACCATTTCTCAAAATTTTTGTCCTGATATACCCCAGTACAAAAATTTTGAGAAAAGCTATCTTGTAATCAATTAAACTTTAATTGTAGTCAGGAACATCGACACCTTATTTTACCTCCATAAAAACGGGGCCACCCTAATGTACATACATTCATATATATGATTTGTTCGTATTGTTACACTTCTTTTAAATATTATTTCTCATTTTTATGGGTATTTTCTCTTCACCTTGTTATTTTATGTATCTAGTCTTTGCCATTTAACTTATCTGTAGGTCTGTCGATCTGTTTGTCTGTCTGTCAATAAGTAAGTCAGTCAGTCGTCAATTCTATTCAATTCAAAAGTTTATTGTGGTTGTTCATAAAAAAGATAATAATGGTGCTTCATCATAATTAAGGATAATTGCACCTTGGTAATGGTGTTGGTGGCAATGTTTTTGCTCTTGTTGTCGTCATTGTTGTAACAACACGTACTCCACACTATTTGCTGTGTCTATACAACTTTTTAAAACACTACTTAATTTACCTCTAATCACATGTGGTTTTCTAAAACGGGTTAATGAATTCGATGATGTTTTTCAATCTTATTGTTCTTCTTTTACACTTAGAAAAAAATTATAAATGCTAAATTTCATAATATTGAAATCATCTTTTGTCTGTACTCATACAACAGAGCTTAGTATAAAATTTTCTTATAAGTTTTTAACTTCATCAAGTAAATTTAAACCTAAACTTGCCAATTAAAAATGTTTGTATTTGAAAAATTTTAATATTTGATCGTCAATAGAAATGAAATTTTTGTCGCCAATTGCTATCGTGAATTTGCTCCGAACAATTCATTCACAATAGTTTATTTTGTATATAAAATCTGGTATTGTTTACTAAATTTCATCAAAAAAATTTCACAACAGGGGAAACTTTTTTCACGTCAAAAAAGTTAGTGAACGAAAAAAAGTGAAAAGGGAACATATTTCACCAGAAATGTTGATTGGCGATAGGGGTGAATGTCAACTTATCGCACTGATATTCCTAATATTGGCGATTTTGGACGATTAATTTGTCTGCAAATTTCATTGCAGTTCTTAAACTGTTACACATATTCATACCCATCTTCAAAAATTATGAGGGCTATTCTAATTCATCGAAATACGAAAAATACGTATCGATAAAACCGATCATGAAGCATAAACTAAAAACTCGGAAAAATTTTGTTTTTTTAATCAAGAGTACTTTTATATTACAAAATTCGGAAGGGTCATCACGGCAAGTATAAAACTTAGTTGTACCGCTTTTTGTCGAGTTACGAGTCCTATTCGGGAGGTTCAGTTTTATGGTGACTAAATGAAATTATGGACTGATTAAAACCAATTTCAATAGGCTTTGTCCCTGGGAATAGAAGATCATGTACCAAATTTCATTGAATTAATTTCAAAATTGCGACTAGTAGTTTGATAACAAGGTTAACAAGTCCCATTCGGTGGATGGGCAATATACTTTTGGTGTATACTATTTCTAAAGAATTTTAATAATCATTTAATCGCTTCAAATTTGTTTTTTTCACGAAAACAACGAATCTTTTTTAATGAGAATTCGACTTTATGTACATTTAAATTTTAAAAATGTAATATCTATGTATCATTATCACAAACATTTTGAAAATAGCATTAAAAAAGCGAATTGAAAATAATGAAATATCCTTCCATCCAAGTTTCTTGTTTTGCATTTCATAATTGGAAAGAGTAAAACTCAATTTTCCTGAGAAGATACCGTTCGTTATAGTGGGATTTACCTGTATTTTGAACCGTTCAAAATTATAAATTATTCAAGAAAACTTTAAATCATCCTTCCTTTTTATTCGCCAAAGAAATTAAAAAATAAAATGAAATTCAAAGAAAAGAGCGAAAGATAGATCATTAATCAATAGTATGACTGTAAGGTTTCAACATTTAGGTTTATTTAGTCAATGGGACTGTATCGCTTAGGAATATTAAATATAAACAAAACGTGCCACAGACATACATATACATCCATATGTATCCAATCTACCATTCTGTACATTCAAAAGTACTTTTATTTGAAAACAAGTTGTTGTCTTTGTTCAGTGTTGTCGTAATTATATTAAATTTTAAATAGTTTTGCATATTGAATTTTGTACAAACAAATTTTTTATAAATAATCCCAAATTTACAAAGGGACCATAATATTTGTACAACGAAAAAACATCGTTATTTGGTAAATAATGTATGAAAATTAACAATGGCAACACTGTCTGTATTCACGTTTCACAGATTTTTTTAAGGAATGAATGAAGCGAATGGCCTTAAAAGGTCTTCAACAGTTAAACATAAATATAAAGTTCTATCAAAATAATATGTATTACTCTTATAACTACGAATGAAGTAGTGTGAGCGGGGCAGAATATTTATAAACAAATCTAGAAGAGTTCAAATACCTTCATAACATATAATTCAATGAAAAGTACTCGAGTATGCTATAAAATGTTAATATTTACTCGAATATATACCAATATTATGAAGTAACAACTAATAGGTTTATAATTTCAATTGTACGGTTGATATGAGAAGGTACCACTCCCAGTCTTTTTTGATTCCTTGTCCTCTCAAAATCGCCAACTGCATAATGATGTTGCAATTCAATAAAGTTAGGAATAATTACAAGGCATTAAAAAAACTTTTATTCACAGAAGAAAGTTACTTCTGGTTAGTCAAAATTAGAGTTTCTAATTTTATGTACCTTTGAACTTCACGGAATTTAGAATTATTTCTTATTCCCGGGAAAATGATTAAATAACACAAAAAATTGAAAAATGTCCAAACTTGGAGACCAACATTTTTTAAAAGGATTGAAACTGAAACTGTCCTTAGAATATCTTTATCATTTTCGAGAAATCGTGTACTTTATATGGAAGCTATGATCAAATATGGACCTATACTCATTAAAATTAGCGTAGCAATTTAAGTTCATTAAAGTTTTCTCTATATAGAATTTCAAAGCTATACTGATAGGTTTAATGGATTTATGAACGTTAAAAAGAGCTTTCTGAAGGGGATCTTATATGGGGACAAGGATCAAATAATATATCAAATAATAAGGACAAATTATATGAAATTATCTTCAAAATAGAACCTGTACGTATGGAAAAAGTTATAAGAAAGTGTGCTAAGTCCAGCAAAAAATAAAAATTCAGAAAAAAACGTGCTAAGTCCTAAAAAAACCGCCATAAATATTCAACAGCATTATTATACCATCCACCACCATCAGTGGTGATAGAGCGTATATATAAGTTTGTCGTTCCGTGTGTAACACCAAGAAATATTCATCTAAGACCCAACAAAGTATATTCTGGGTCCTTATGAAATAAGTCGATTTAGCTATGTCCGTCTGTCTGTCTGTGTAAAACACGCTAACATTAAAACTAAGCAAAGGATATCAACCAAATTCACCCAAAATTTTTACTATTATCCTAAGCAGTTTGGTATTGAAAATCAGCAAAATCGGTTCACAATGTAAAGAGTTGTGAATAAAAATTTCAGACTACCTCGAAAAAAATTAAGTTTTTTTCATAATTCTTTTGAAGTTTTCTCAGAAACTACCAAAGATATTTCGATGAATTTTGTCACACATTATTTTTTCAGAGCAGTGACCAATTATATTCAAAATCTTTACAATCGATCCAATATTTCCCATAGCCCCCATACAAAGGTATATATTCCCGGAAATTAGTTTATCGTTAATAACTCCCTCAAATATATCGGTATCAACACAAAATTTTGTACATGCAAATATAATATGAACAGAAATCATACCGTCAACGTAGATCTCAGTCAGTCCACAATTGGTCATAGCTCCCATATAATCACCTAAACGCACATATTTCAGTGATGAATAAAGCTATTGTGATAAAATTTGCGTTAAATATGTTTTGTATACATACAAATCATTCCACCAAATTTTTTACGGATCGGTCCATTATTCTTCATAGCTCCCATATAAGGCCCACTTCCGAAAATCACTTAAAAACACATATTTCATTGTCAAATAAAGCTATCGTAATAAAATTCGACATAAATATATTTTGTCTAAATATGAATTACTCTGCTAAATTTTTTCTGGGTAGGCCCATAATTGGTCATAGCACCCATATAAGGTCCACTTCCGAAAATCACTTAAACGCATATATTTTTAATTGAATTCTAAAGCTATTGGGATAAAATTCGACAAAAATATGTTTTGTGTACATTTAAATCATTCCACCAAATTTTTTACGGATCGGTCCAATATTATTCATAGCTCCTATATAAAGCCCACTTCCGAAAATCACTTAAAAGCACATATTTCATTGTCAAATAAGGCTATCTTGATAAAATTCGACACAAATTTGTCTTTGTATGAGCCACTCTACGAAATTTTTTCCGGATAGGCTCATAATTGGTCATAGCTCCCATATAAAGTCCACTTCCGAAAATTACTTAAGCGCATATATTTCGTTAAATTCTAAAACTATAAGGATCAAATTCGACTTGAATATATTTTGTGTACATATAAATCATTCTACCACTTTTTTCCCGGATTGGTCCATTATTGGTCATAGCTCCCATATATATAAGTCCCACTTCCGAAAATCACTTAAACGCACATATTTAATTGTCAAATAAAGTTATCTAGATAAAATTCGACACAAATATGTTAATAGCTCCTATATAAGGTCCACTTCAAAAAAATCACTTAAACGCACATATTTTATTATCAAATAAAGATATCTTGATAGAATTCAACAAAAATATGATTGGTGTAGGTCATAGCTCCTATACATATAAAGCACTTCCGAAAATCACCTAAACGCACATATTTCATTAATTAGTAAATCTATATCTATACGATATTTTTTCCTTATCGGTCGATAATTGGTCACAACTCCCATGTAAGGACCATTTCCGAAAATTACTCAAATGCACATTTACAATCAAAGTTATAGGGATAAAATTCGACATAAATGTGTATTTTGTATATATAAATCATTCTACGGAATTAATATACATTTTTCTCGACCTAATTAAAATTAGTTTAACATATGCATAAATGTTAGTACCCTCAATACGGAAACAAAAATTTGCCAAGTTATCTGAAAATTAGATAGTTACATGAGTTTTAATAAAAAGTAGGTTGCTGGTGGAGGGTATTTAAGATTCGGCATAGCCGAATATAGTACTCCAACTAGTTTTTAAATTGTTTTACTACCGATATTAAAAAAGGAGAAATCTAAGAAAAAAACTACGTTTACAGATTTTAAAAATATGAAATACAAGAGAAGTTATGAAGTTTTTTGCTTCTCCTGTAAAATTTTCAAAAGAGGACTTGTTACGTTTGCGTACTAAGCTAACGATATTTAATTTTAATAAAATTTTAAACCTCAAGACCTAAGGTTTTCGTAAATGTAAACTATTAAATCTTTACGATACCTTACCAAATAAGAATTTTCGAAGCTTTTGGGAAATAATCTCTGTAGTGTAATATTTAGATGTTTAAACTTCAAAGCTAAGTCTTCTATTGGGGCAACAAAGTAGCATGCATCATTGCTAATGAGTAAAAAGCTAATGAAAATTGCGTGCAACATACGCATAACGGATCGCTCTTACATACATACATGCATACAAATAAATATTTGCAAGATTATTTACTTACCTCTGGTATCATAATAATACCCGGTTTGTGAGGAAAGATGAGGTCGTGTGGAGTTGTAAAATTTGTGGCTGTTATTGAACACAATTGAGTGGCCATGCCTCCCTTTGTGTCTTTCACCGATACTTGGAAGTCGTAATAGCGACCGGGCTCCAGGCGACGTGATAATACGACATTCGCCTGACACACCGAATTGTACTTTGTGCATGGAAGCGATTCAATCTTGACCGTCGACGATGAAGCATCGCCCACAAACTCAAAGGTTAACGGATAGTCAAACTCTTCATCAGTGGCACGCAATCTGTAAATGACTGAGCCGACCTGGGCATCGGCTGGCACTAAAACAAGACGCATACGCGTCGATGGATCAAATTTGGGATCCACGCACAACACTGACGACGGACTGAGAATGCCAATTAGCAGGCTGATTGTCAATATTCGATATGCCGTTGTCCAGCTTAACAAGGCAGTGGTGGAAAGATGTCGTCGTGTCATCGTTGTCGATGACGACAACGACGTTGTATCACAACATTTCATAGTTGTTGTAGTCGCTGTGGTTTTTGTAAATTCTCGACATGAATATGAATTGAATGAAGAGAATGTGGATAATAATGACGAAGACGATACTGATGATAATGATGTTGAAGAGTTGTTGTGGGAGAGGCAGGAGTTGAGTGTTGATGGTAATGTTGTTGTTGTTATTGAAGAAGGAATGGCCGTCAAAGATGTTTGTTGCTCTTGGTATGGTTGCTGTTGTTGCAGTGTAAATCGTCTGTGATTGTGTCTTTTTCTTCTTCTTTTACTGCTAGTTTTTGTGTGGGTATTATTGTTGCTGGAAGCCATTTCTGCTGTAACGAGAAAATAAAAATAAAACGTTTTTATTATTTGTTAATATTGTTCCTCCATTTTTAACTAAAATCCAAATAAATACATTATTACAACTTTTGCAAAGGCAAGACAGAATTAACCCCACCATTCTACAAGGAGTCAATATCTTCTCGAATTTACATACATATATACTATAGGGATTTATTTACTTACATACAATATGTTTCTTTATCAAATATAACAAAAAACAGTTGTTTTAGCTTTGACGATTAAAATTACTCTCAAACCGAAAACATCAGAAATATTTTAAAATAGTAGTATGTACTTATTTTATATTTAAGCACTCTTTAACCTTCGCCTTACCAATACCCACCCGGGTGACTTTTTCGTTTTTGTTTTTTTAATAATTCGGTCAATTTTGCTCCAATTTCATATAAAATTTTAACTCACTGAACAAATTCGCAGTTCTTTCAAATTCCGTAAAAAAATTTTAAATTTTTATATTTTTAGCTGTTTTTTTTTTAACTTTTGTCAATTTTACTACGCGGATTACCAATACCCACCCAGGTGAACACAATGGTTTTTAGTATTTCAATTATCATTTTTATTTTTATTTATTATGTAATTCACTTTTAGTAAATAAGATTAAATTAGTAATTAACTTGTTAATTAAGATGACGAACTTTTATAACATTTCTCACATTTAGAGCAATTTGACCAAGCGTAGTCTGAGGTGGGTAAATTTTTGTATATGATAACATGTCGGATCAGATAATTCTGTAACCCAGGGTAACCTGGAAATGGGTATAACAAGGACTTTCATCTCGAACTGCAGGGCAATTATAGAGATTTGTGTAATTATTTATGAAATAATCAAGAAATTTTCAATGTTTGTTTATTATTCCAATCGTATGTAGGACTACATGCATTTTTTGTTGTTTCGTTCCTTTACATTGTAGTTATATTCGCGTTTGCTTGACCATTCGCCTGAACTGTCCGCCTGTCTAGCTGTCAGTTTGTCTGTCAATGTGTCTACATGCATTCCATAGCTATATTTGGATTTAAATAGTCGTACATACTGGTATGACACACGACCGCCAATGCCCTATAAACGGTGCGTTAAACTTGAAAAAGTTCTAAACAAGAAAAAGTTGTAAAATATTTAATATTTTCAAATGCTATAGGTATAAAAGTTTTCTAACTGCACTCAGTCCTCTATATTATAGAAAATTCTATTAAAATTTTTTTAAAAACTTATTCTTCATATTTAGTGGACCAACTTTAACGTCCAAGCACGGCAGTATCAGCAATAATAATAAAAAATGATAATACATTTGCAACAAACAACAAATTACAAAACACCTCTGAAGAAAATACGAATCTACACAAATATACATTTCTTTTACGCAACATCAGTTGTCACCGGATGTGGTGACACTGACGCGCAAGATGACGATGATGTTGTTGCAGAAGTTCTGTACATACTACTTATGTACAATGTACATTGTACATAGTTCTTGTAGAGAAATTGGTTGCTGATTATGAAAATTTAAATTCAACAATCATTTTTTTTATAAAAACAGTTAAAGACACCAATGTGTTGTGTTGTAAAAATAAAAATTGGTATTTCGCAATATCAGGAAAAAAATTTTAGTTTGTTATTGTAAAAAATTTTAGATGTAAAAAAATAAAATCGTCTTAATATGTACGTACATACATATGTAAGTATGTATTCGTTAATTCTTGTGTATGAATATTAGTAAAGTTTATCAGCTTTATGTAATAAATTTGACAGTTTTATGTGTAGATTTGACAGACGTTATTAAATTTAAAATATTTTATTCTTTAATATTTATAAGCATTAATATCAACACAGATAATATTGTTTAAAGGATTTAATATTAAAATAAATAAAGTCAATCTAAAAATTGTTAATATGTTAATAAAAAGTTAATTTCAAATTTTTGCCAAAAGGCTGGCAATAACCCATGCTTTCAAAAAAAAGCTTTGAATATGTTGATTGTATCGGGTTTCAAGTCGAACAAACTCATTCATTTGAATAAAAATTGTTAAAATTTAAATTGTTAACATACAAATACTTAATACATACATGGACAATTAACAAATTTGTAAATTGATATGGTCTCATGTGATGCTGGATATATTAAGTTATTGTTTTTGGAATGATTATCAGTCTCTGGAGGGTCTTTTTTGCTTAAAAATTAATTTTTGTGAAAAAATCTTAATTCATGTAAGAAATTATTGGAACCATTTAAACAAATTAAGAGTGTTTAATAGGGTGGGTCGAAAATAGGCTTTTCCCTCAGATCAACTTCTAATAGTGAAATTATGTTGTATTTTAATGTCAAATGGAAGACTGTAAAATATTATTCAATTATTTTGTGTGTACGAGCCCGCGCATCGCAGCCAAAGTTTGTAAATGCGTTTATATGGGAGAAAATGGAACTTTTGGAGTTTTTTCACAAAATGAAGCTATAAGTATTTATTATTATCGTAATGTCTACAAAATTGTCTTTCCAAATAGATAGAAAAACTCAAAGTTGGTTAAAAAAGTTTTGAGTTATTAAAATTTTCCCCGAGAAATTTGTGATCCTGAAGACACATAAAAGTAAATATAAGAACATTTTTTTAGTTTTGAAAAATTTTACAAAAAAATATTATATTCATCTTTATAAGATTCATAAAAGTGCTTGTACGAATTTTTGTTCAAATTGGATAACGCTTGTTCGGTTTAGTCGGTGGTAAAAAAGAGCCATTATTTTAACAGCATCTCCAAAACTCCATTTTCAAACTTTAAAAAATTTTGTTAAATGGATTTTAAAAAATTAGATTTTTCTATACTGCATATTATAAACGATATATATAAGAAATGAACACAAAAAGAATGAGCTCAATACCTCTCATAGTTTTACAGTTTTTATAAGGCAATTTTTGCCAATAATTAAGCAAAAACTATATTATTACCAATTGTTGCTTAATTTTGATCAAGCAAATTGCGATTATTATTTCCGAGTCCATGGAAAGTTATTTCTGATCAAATTTTCGAAATTAAAAATCATTAACCCTCTAAACACTGGGGTCAAAATCGTCTTCCATTTGACGTTAAAATACAACATAATTTCACTAGTAGAAGTTGATACGAGAGAAAAGCCTATTTTCGACCCACCTAAGTGTTTAATTCATTAAAATTTAAATATTAAAATATTTTTATATACATTTCCAACACATAAACAATGTTTTTACGTAAACATACATATTAACTGGAGTCTGAATCACCCATATGAACAGAAGCAGTCCAGGAAATGAAAGGTTTCATATTATAAAAAATTCAAAAAATACTATTTCAAGATAATGCCACATTTTCCCAATCTGGAACGACAAAAGTTAAAACAAAAAGTGGTTCGATTTTCACGATTTCAAGTGACCTAAGACTTCCATGGAAACATCGGCAAAAATCCGATATAGTGTCCGCTAATGGAGAAATTTGGCTCGAAGGTTTCACTCTCAAAATTAAATTTTTCTAGTCGCTAATATAGGTCAAAAAATATGATGTGTACAAAATTGAATAACTTCTACATGGAATTAGATATTTACACAATTTAAATTTTATATAAATAAAAGTATATTAAACAAGGATTAAAAATTATAAAATTTTTATAAAAAAATATTTTTTTAAGTGATATTTTTCTTATACTATTCTGACACGACCTTAATATCCTTAAAGTAAACAAAAACTTAATTTTTAATGGAACGAATCTTTTGAAATTGGTCCGATGTGGTCGTTGTACTATATACGGTGCATTCGATAATATCTGTACTATGTATTTCGAAAGCAAACTTTTGCGACCGTTTTATGGAATAAAATAAATGCGACATATGAGCCTAATGACACCATTTGAATGCACTAATAAACAAGTAAGAAATTATAGTCGGGCGAGGCCGACCATATAATACAATACACCTTTGACAAAAATATAATGTGATTTAGTTGCCATAATAAAGCATTTAAGTTGAATTGTACCTTGCCTTAGATATACATACTTAAGCCGTTTATTATTGAATAAAATTGTGATCATTTAAGTGAAATTTTGATGGGGGCTTTTCATAGGGGCTAGGGTCATATGAGAACCTATTATTATGGAATTCGAGGGGGTCATCAAGTCTTGTATACAACTTGGTTTTTGCAGCTTTTTGTCGAGATATGAGTATATTAAACATAATTATGAACTTAAAAGCCTTATTCGGCGGGTTCAGTTGTATGGGGGCTAGGTGAAATAATGGACCGATGTAAACCATTTTCAACAGGCTTCATCTACGATACCATAAAAGATCATGTGCCAAATTTCATTGAATTATCTCCAAAATTGCGACCTGTAGTTTGATTACAAGGATTACAAGCCCTATTGGGGGGTTCAGTTGTATGGGGGCTAGGTGAAATAATGGACCGATCTTAACCATTTTCAATAGGCTTCGTCCCTGGGACAATAGAAGATCATGTACCAAATTTCATTGAATTATCTCCAAAATTGCGACCTGTAGTTTGATTACTTAGAAAATGATTCTGAGGCGATTGGTATACTTTAAGGTGGGTATATGACCAATATTATTGTGCGTTACAAACATCAGCACAAACCCAATATACCCTCCCCACTAAAGTGGTGTAGGGTATAATAAAGTAAAAAATCCAATTCTTATCAAAATTTAATAGCAATATTTTCCCGGGATAAAATTAGGCTTTTAGGGTTTTCCAATCCCGAAAAATTCCAAGATACTTGAATTGGCATCCCTAGAATATATGAAAGATTGAACTTAAGAAGGAGAACAAACAGTCAAACATATTTATTATATTACATTGTAGATGTATTGTAATTATCCAGTGGATTCTCTTCATTGATTATGTTTAGTTGTAGCTTTTTGGCTCTATAAATTTGCTTTAGTTTTAATAGTAAAATTCGTATTTTGTCTACTTAAAACTTAAAATGGAAGTACATGTTGCAAT